TGTAATAAACAGCCTGAACACAATATGTAGTATTATATGCAGTTTTTCAGGGGAAGAGTCTCAACAGACCACTGCTGCAGTCGAACCTGCTAGAAATATTTAATATTTAAACGATAACTCCATCACAGGAGTTTAATTTAACATTATGTTTAGTTGGTTATTACATAATGAAGCATATTATTACACTCTCATCATAAAAAGTCCAACTCCAGCATTCTGTAACATTTGTTTTATAATAATTTACTACATATTGTGTTCATGCTGCTTCTTACATAACGTGTTGTTAGACGCCTGAACCTGATGGTCATCCAGGACCGGGACAAGTATTTCAACAGTCCTGGATCTTGGATTTGGCCATTTTCTCCTCGGCTCTCTGCACTGGGAGTGTTTCCTCCTCCCTCCTCTCACAGACCTTTCCTTCCTCAGCTGGTTTGATGGATGACGTTGCCTCCGTCTTTTACTCCCTGATCAGTATTCTCCCTCTCTCCTCCCTCACTCCTGCTCTCAGTATTCCAGCAGCATCTCCTTCCATCCCTCCTCCTCCCTCTCATGTTAGCATGCAAAAAGAGACTCTGACCTCCTCTTTCATCCTGATCCTCGTGTGTTCTACTCTTTATTTCTCTCTCTGCGTTTGCAGAACATCAGGAGGGTTTCTCCTCCTCCTCTTAACCTTTCTGCCTGATAGAACCTCCTCTCTCCTCCTCCGCAATCGAATAGTAATTTCTCCTCTTCCTCACTTTTCAGCATGCAGCGGGCGTTTCCTCCTCCTCTACATTTTCTATGCATCATCCCTCTCCCTTCCTTTACATTCTCCTCCCCCTCCTCACCCTTCAGCATGCTGACAGAAACTGCTCCTTAACTCCCATCTCGCCGACGAGGTAAATTCTGATCAAAATGGCGACGAGGACACAACTAAAGACACTCAGTTTTACTCGATTTATCGATGACTTTGAGTTTAAAGGCCGATCTGAGATTTTTATCTTTAAAAAAAAAATCTGATCAGAGATTTTAAAAGTACTGAAGATAGCGATCTGCTGATTTACATGGCGCGACTGTAAAGAGAAAGATTTTTAATTGAGCTGCAGATACGATCAGTGATTTAATGGTTGAGTTTCCACTGCGGCAGTATACACACACACACACACACACACACACACACAGGTTGGATGAACAGTGGTATTGGTATGGTAGTGGCTTCCCTCCCTGTTCTATAATTAATCATCTAAAAGGCAGTCTTTTATCAGGACCCTTCCTCCTCCTCCTACTCTTCCTCCTCACTTAAGTCCTTTTGGCCCCAAAGATTCAAATGACAGTGAAACAACAGCAATAAAAAAAGGTGCTTTGTAGCTTTATGGCATCGCAGAGAGCCAAAAGAGAGACGCTTCAGCTGTGGTGGAACGTTTTCACTCAACACACCTGCCTGCATGCACAGTCTCAAAGACCTGACGGTGCTTTTAAACACATCAACGCAACATGGTTTCCATTTTCTGCAGCAGTTATACAGGAAAAACTACAAACAGAAGTGGAAATACGTACAGATGGGTAAACTATTGATGTTTAAAGTTTAATATTCAGATTATTAAATGAAAGTAGTTTTGATACTGACTGTGGACAGTGAAATTAAGTAATTTGCAAGACGAATTTTGCTTGCATAAGGTTTTTGGCTTCGTTCACATTGCAAGCATTAGCACTCAATTCTGATTTATTGCTCAGATCTGATTATTTCATAATGAACAGGTCTCAAAAGTGATGTATAGGTCACACTGAGGTCGCATTTAGTGCCTGGATTGGACCAAAAAAGGTACCAGTACCCTAATTCAGCACAGCCCTGATTGTTTTGCTGTTTTTAAATTCTTTTTAAATTCTTTTTTCAGTGTTCTAAGTGTTACGCTGTGTGTTTACACAGAGATGTTAGGTGGATGTTTAAGATTACCTCAACAGCACTGCTGTACGCAGGGTTTTAGAAATACTGAGATTCAAACACTGAACTTGCTAGACGGAGATTGGAGGCACCAAGGTAATTTAGGCAAATATTTCATGACTTTTATTTTATTTTATACCGTATGGAAACCTCAGTAGTGGGTACGGCCATGCTCACCACAGGTGGCGGTACCCAATAAGAAGTGCTCGGTACTGGTGAGTACCGGCCCAATTCAGGCACTGGTCAGACTACAAAAATTCAGACCTTTATCTGATTTGGACAACATATGAAGGTGGCCCCACCAGTCAAGATCAGATCATGTGGTCTATGTTGATCACGCTGTCAGATCTGAGTCACATATGAGCAAAAAAATTCTGATTTAAGTCACTGGTGCCAGCAGTGTGGATTCAGAAGGTCAAGTATCATCGTTGAACTATAATTTTGACAAACATTGGACCTAAAATAGACCTTTGAACAATATAAACAATCCAGCTGTGCAAAGTGAAAATGTTCAACCACAGAAAGAAAGAGGTGTATGAGGGGATGAGGGGGTGCAGCGTTGCCATGTTAGAAAGTCCTTCATCCTACATTTCATACAGAGAATGAGAGCGTTTCACACTGCGTTCAGTTTTGGTTCGAACTTTGTCTGTTCTGTTTACCAGCGTCAAGAGGGTTGCTGCTTGTCTTGGACCATCCAGGTGGACTGAAGTATAATTTAAAGGTTGTAGACTGAGTTGGCAGTGTGAAAGCACCCTCATTCTTCTTTAGGATGTACAAGAGCGCAACAAGAGCTCATCAAAAAAAAGACTCCACCAGAAGCTACACATGCAACAATTTAACCCCTCCAAACGAACCTCCAGTCCACCCCTCCGTCTAATACCCTCCTGTTCTTTTCAAACAAACATCCAGTTTGGCAAAAAAAAGTACCAAAAAATGTTTGTATTCCACCTTCGACACACAGAGCTGAGATTCAGTTCAGGTTCCAAACAGTCCGGTTAACTCCGGTTCGATCCGGTTTAGTCCGGTGGTGTGATCATGGGGTTGGTTCGGTCTCAGTCTCCTGGCTCTCTCTCTCTCTCTCTTCCTCCAGACTCTGATGTAGCATAATGTTCAGCTTTATACAAGTTCAGCTCCTTAAAATCCATACTGTCAAATCCACAAAGTTCTTATTACATGTTAACATTTCAATATTTCTTTTTTTCCTTTCTTTTTGTATTCTTTTTTATACTTTATCATTATTATTATTATCATCTTTCTTTTTTTGTTGTTTACAATTATGGCCACAAGTCTTAAAAGTTCTTGAGTACGGTCCGGTTAAAACCCCATTCCAGGTTGTTTTTGATCCGGGTTTGGTCCAAGTCCGGTCCAGTTCTGACGTGATCCGGTCCGGTCTTTACATGGCACTGGGCTTGTAGCTCTGCACAGTATTTCCCCCTGGGCACGGTAAGCATGGCGCTGTAAAGCATGGCTGTATGTGGGCGTATGTGCAAGGTCTGACGATAAAGCGATCTGCACCGATCTGACTGGTGCTGAATCCAGAACCCCATTTTCCAGGTTGTTCTGGTCCTGAAAATTGCCAGTCAGTCCACTTTCAGAAGTTCTTCGCTTCTGAAAATATCGCAAGTCAACCTGCTTATTTACAGACCTTGCCGGTGTGCCTGTGCTGGAATGTATTCAAAATGTAATTCTGGATTCATTTCTGTTTAATTATTCACGATTCCGGTGAATTCCACAGTCTTGATTGGTCGGGCAGTAAATTACTAAAGAGTCTTCCTGGCCAATAGGATGACCAGAGGCCAGCATGACTGACCAATGAGGGAGCAGGGTTGAGGGGAAGGGAAGAATAAAAGTGGGGTGAAAGAGGAAATGTATGGAAAAAGGGGAAGATAGACGAAATTAGGACAAGGGTAAAGCAAAGTTGGAGGAGTTGGGGAGGGAAGGAAAGGAAAAAAAGATGGCGGGAGGAGAGGACGGGTTTATGGACACAGGTACTGGTCGGTCAGTAGGCATCGGGCTCAGTGTGCTGTGGTACAGAGTGATTGTCCAGAGAAAAAACATTAAGTGGTTATTTAAAACAGCAACTTAGAAACTTCTAGATCCTGACGAGGCTGAAGCTGAACAGTCCAAGGTCAAGTCAAATTGTCTCAGCTCATTCAGTTCCCGTATTTTCCACCTAGATTCCACATATTTCGAGACGAAGCAGTGATTTCATGGTCAGACCAAGCCATCAGTTTTTGGGACATCAATTTATTTGCTTCCTTCTCCTTTATTAAAGCTTGAAACAACCTTCTGAATCCTTCGCAAACAAGTTCAAGATGGACTGTGACACTTCCTTCCTTAAAGCTTGACCTGAACGTCTTAATCAGGATCCTTTCAAACAAGGCGAAGGATTCAGGGTGAGGATAAACGGGGCCAAAATAAAGACATCAGTAAAGAGGCTTCGAATTTCTGCATTGAGCCTCGACTTGACCTTTTAATATTCAGCCTGGATTTGTCCAGACTACAATGAGGCTCTTTAGGTAAGGTCAAGTCTGCTGCAATTTCACTGTGACTTTCGGACACACAGCTTAGTTTCTTGATCCTTCAGACCAGAACAAGCCTTTCATGGTGAAGTCCATAGCTTTGACGGAAACTTGACTTGACCTTTTGCTCTTCAACCCAGCATCCGTACCAGGCTGCAAATCCTGAAGTCAGGTCGATCAGTCCTCACGCCATATCCATTGTTTGGTGAAACCTGACACAGTCTTTAGCCTAGTTTTCAGGTCATTCCACAGCCACGCCCCCTTTACTTTGATCCCTGCTTACACCTGCAGTGAATTTACATCCAAATCCAAACCGACAGATGCATCGAGAAGGTTAGTTTATTTGCAATAACGCGTTGAATTCATGTCGTAAATGTATCCAAATCGGTTTGGAAACTGATTTTCCACCCCAAAAAACCAACCGAACGGAGGTAGTTGGGGCCCAGCCAGCCAGTTAATCAGTCTTCAAATCAATCGATCAATCAATTGACAAATAAATTGCTGATAGATTGATTCGTAAAGGGCCGGAGCTGTGGCTGTCAGTTCGGTCCAACACTGAGCAGTTCAGCTGACTGTTAAAACAGTTCAGAAAAACAAAATGCCCTCAATTCCCCATCCCCCATTCTTCTTTCCCATCCCCCCATCCATCCATCAGTCCATCGGTCCATCAGTCCATTCGTCCTTTGCCTCCTCTCAGCTGCTCCCAGACATCAGGTTGATGGCTTGCTCCAGTTTGTGCCTCAGTTTGTGTTTGCGACAGTACCCATCCCGGTCCAACGCCGTCAGGATCTGCCGAGACAGAGGAAAGAAATTATAGCAGTGTGCTCCTGTCCCTTCTAAGATGATCCGATAGGTATCCAGATACATGGACTACGACATGATTCAGCGACGATGCATTTTCATTTGGAACAAATCGATATGATGCAATCTGATACAGTACCATTTAACATTTGTTTATTGTAGACATTTTCCATTCTACATTAAAATAAGCCAAAGGTTACATTGTTTACCTTCAAATACATAGATTTTTAGAAAAGACAAGTATTTTTTTCTTCAAAATGACAAAAGTTGGAAAAAAGACTTCCTGCCATCATTACCTAAGACCCCGCCCAGTTGATTGCTGTTGCTGGGGAGCCACGCTGCACTAACGTTACTCTAGTCTCTCTTGTGGTGAGACCCTGGCATTGACCTTTTACCTTTCACAAGACACTGTTTGCAGCAAAGCTTCAGTAAACTAAACCATAACTTTAGAATCAGACCATCAGTTTATGGTACATTTAGAATCAACCCAGGGGTCTGAGTAGCGATGTAGTCACACCTATAACATTACAACCAATTTCTGATGTATCAGTAAATCTTTACACCCCTTACATGTACTTTCAAGGGTATAACTTCATTTGAATCATGTCTCCATTGTTAAAAAATAAAATATAATATCAAACCTGACCCTGACGACCACTGCAACAACCAACACACTCACCTCTTCCTTGTACTTGTTGATGTAGAAGTAGAGCTCACTGAGCGCACTCAGTGTGTTAAACTCGTTGCCATGGAGACGGGACTGTTCCACCAGGTAGGCGTCCATGTCCTGATCACTGATGCTGGGCATCTTGGCAATATCCCTGTAGTACCTACAGGGGACACACAGTCGTAGTGTAACTTTACTAACTGCATCAACAAGCTATGTGCTGCTTTAAGGTTAATTTACCCATGATAAGTTAGCCACATCTACACCCAGTTCTTATTTTGTGCATTACAGTTTATTAGCTGGTTAGCATGCTAGCTACCTCTCCACCCAGCTCTTGTAGTTGGGGATGTCTTTAGCATAGAGCAGCTTGTTTGACGGAGAGTCTTTGCCGAGCCGGTGTTCGGACGTCGAGCAGGAGTCCATGAAGGTCTGAGCGACGACCGACAGACAGGCGTCGGTGATGCTGCTCTTATGGATGTCAAACACAAACTGAGGATTCTTTATGACGTTCACCCAGAACCTGAGAGGAAGGCTGCAGACACGGAGAGGAAAGATCTGTTAGTTCTTTAAACTGTCTTTAAACTTGTGTCTTTATTATCAGTGGATTTTCTCACCAGTTGCTCTTCCAGGTGTGTCGGACATCCGGGTCGCTGATCTGTCGTTTGTCGGCTTGCTCATCCAGGAAGTCGAACATGTATTTGATAGCCAATGGGAGAGCAGAGCCTCGGTGGGCGGTGCTAAACACCGTCTCAAACAGGTCGTCCACAAACTTTTGCAGCGTCCCCTAGTGGTGGGAAGACAGCCATAATTCAAATTTCAAATTAATGTTTCACTTTAGATGCAAAAACCCACTTACACAGAAATGCCTCTATGGATGGAAACGTCCCTCAGTCCACCACTTTGTGTTACCTTGGTAGCCAGCAGTCTGGTCAGGTAGATCTCAGAAACCATCTTGCTGCCTCGGTCTCCTTCTCTCTGATCACTGTGCTCGTGATTCTTCACCAGGTGCCACAGTTTAGTCCCTGAAAACACACAATATATATACTGTACAGTGCAGTGCACACAGTATACAGCCTGCAGTAACTGCTCACAACTACTACTAATACTTAGAGGTGGGAGAAAACTAAATGCATCCACCGTCAACTTTTACTTGTCGATCTGTAAACAACCCCATGTCATCTGAAACGCTCTCCGTCCCCCGATCTGGCGAGAAGGTGAACGGACTCATAGACAAACAGATACAGGTTAGCTGTACTGGCTAGCTAACAGGTAGAACAAAGTTCACTTAGCTGTCTGTGCAGACTCGTGGTATAAAAAAATTTCCCGTCACTGTTTTACTCTGTTGGTCTTGAAATTTGGTACCAAATGAGGGCATTTTCTGATACTCAGCCGTATTGACGCGGTTCAGTCAGTGCCATAAAAGTATTAACGTTCAGTAGAGTAGTAGTAACATTTGCAAAGTCGATTGCAGCTTTTATTGGTAAGTATCTGAGTCCGTAAATAAAAGATAATGGAAGTTAATTCATCAGCTTATTTTAATTACGGATCATTACAAATACGTCTGCAAAAAATTGGATCAGAATTGAGTCATGAGGTTCTGATAGATTCCCTACAAATACTGCTGCTGCAGTTGCCTACCTGTCTCCTGGTCTGGGGTGATCATCGGAGCTCTGGATCTCAGACTGTCAGGACTGCTGGACGTTCGAAGTAACGACTCTGAGGACGCAGAGAGAGAGAGGAGTTAATCACTTTCTCTGATTAATTATCAGCTAATAGCTAATGTGTGTGTGTGCGCCTGTACCGTATCTGCTCAGCGATCTGGTGAAGGTGAAGGAGTTGGCAATGTTGTAGGCGGAAACCTGCTTCTGGACCAGCGCCACCAGGGAGCCGTCTGTTACCTGGCAACACACAGTGACAAATCAGTCAATCAGCCAATCGCTCCATCAATCAGCTGACTAATTATCCATTCAGTCAGCTAACTCAGTCGATTCTTATCCCGTTCACAATCTGGATAGACTCCACATGTGCCACCACAGGAGCTGATAAAGAACCAGAACTCACTCAGACTCCCACTATCGTCATCCAGTGAGAGAAAATGTTAAAGTTTAAAGCTTTTAATCTGCTTCTGAAGCTGCATTAAAATACAGCATGACAGTGACATGGCTCTCTAGGTTAGATTATGAAGTTTGCTTATGACTGAAATAGGTCAAATAAGGCCTTGATTGTCTTGTCAATGTGCAGACAATAAGAGAGAAACAGTAGTTCAGAAAAGTCCAAATTCATCCAGAACAACAGTTTACTGAACACTGCTAACTCACATCATAATGTGAAACGTTGCTGGCTCGGTCACAACTCCCTGTTAAAGAGAGTTTGAATTGCAATGGGAATATTCCTACTAAAATAAAGGTCAAATAATCTGTTCTTTAATGAAGTGAATATGGCCTCACTGAGAAACAGGGTGTTAACATTTGGAAATAAAAACTTTAATATGTACAATTACTAAAACAATATACTTTATTTTACAAAAATGCCTATAGCTTTTCAACCATTGAGCACAGAACAAGATATTTTATTTAAATTGATTAAATTAAATTATGCATCCTGTTTCAAATTGTCTACCACTTTAAAACTCCTTCAGACATCCCAACGCAGAAAATGAATTAACTGAATATCTGCAAAGACAAAGACAGATAACCTGGTTTTATCAGATGTCTGCTGAAAGACAAACAAACATGACTGAAAACAGAAGGTATAATATTATTATGAAGGTAATAAATGTGTGCCTACCTGGTAGTGAGCCAGTGTGTTCAGTCTCTTCCAGTCGCTCTCTATCTTGGTGGTCACGTCTTCATCCTGCAGGATGATCCTGGTCAGTCGACCCTGACGCCACTCTGAAAACATAAATATTAAGTTAGTCTGTTTCTGGAGAAGCTAAGCTACGTTAGCTGTTTTAGAATGCTATGGTTTAAACATGAAGTTTGTGGGTAATAAAATAGAAGATCAGCAGACTCATGTATACTTTAAAATTTCTGTGAAAAATACTACAGAGTCGTCTGCAAATAAAATATCAGATCAGTCAGTTCATTAACATTAACTGGATCTTTGATGTAAATTAGGAACAGTTGGTTTGACAGTGAGAAGGCTGATGGATCCTTTAACATTTAACAAGTTTGTGAAGTAAATAGTTACCGAGGTCCATGTCGTCGGCCTGAGGTCTTTGAGAGAACGGGATTCCTTTATAAACGGCATCCAGCAGTTTGTCTTTGACCTGAGTCACCGTGTCACAGTTCAGCACCTTCACTGGCACCTCCGTCCCCGCCTCGCCCTCCGGAGGGATACACATCAGAGTCTGAGAGACAGACAGACAAACGGACAGGAGTCATTGGCCTGAACTTTATTACACTCTCACTACCACAGTGAGGAAAACAGGAGTGTGTGTGTGTGTGTGTGTGTGTGTGTGTGTGTGTGTGTTACCAGCTGTTTGTAGTCGATCTGCTGTCTGATGAGTTTGTCTTCACTCAAAGAGTAGCGAGCCTCTCCGGTGATGGCGTCGATCGGCCCTTTCTCCATCTGCTGCTTTATGGCACAGTACAGCATGAAGAGAGGCTCACCTGCACACTCCTGACAGACAGACAGACAGACAGACAGACAGACAGAGTTATTCCTGTAAACTCATCAGCAGCAGGATTCAACCAATCTCCTTCATCTCCTGGGAATAAATCAACTGTAGCCGTGATCTGATTGGTGACAGGAAGGAAGGAAGGAAGGAAGGAAGGAAGGAAGGAAGGAAGGAAAGAGCGGACAAATGATGAGGTGATGGTTACCTTGAGGAATCGATGCAGCAGGAAGGTGAACCAGTTTGTCAGCATCTTCTCAGCTACAGACTCTGTCCTAAAATCACAGAGGTCAGAGGTCAAAGGTTACTCAACACAGCCGTCTCTACTGTAACATGGAGTTATAAGTTATAATAAAATGTAAAGAAAAGCAGAATAACTTCTTGCTCTTTTTTTGTCTGCAGTTTGTTTTTAAAGGTGTTCTGACCTCCTCAGCAGCAGTTTGGGATGGTTTCTGTTCTCCAGGTTCTTCTCAATCAGGTCGGCCAGCAGCTGCTTTAACACCACTGTAGCATATTCCATACGACCCTGAAGAGACAAATATTAAATAAATAACAGTTTATCTACTGATAAGCAGCTATTAACTGATATTAACAGTAAAAAATATCTATTAACCAGTTATTAATGGATATGAACACTAAAAACATCTAAAAACAGAGATGAACAGTTAGCCACTGGCCATCGATTAACAACCATTAGTAAGTATTAATGAATATTAAATCAGCTGGTTAATTTAAGAGGTTGTTAAGAGGTACCTGCAGAGCAGCCATGAGCAGCGAGGCGACGTTGCCTCGGTCTCTCATGGAGAACGACCTCTGAGCCTCCAGCGTGTGGATGAAGGTCAGCAGGAACATCTTGTTGTTCAGTAACTGGCTGAACAGACGCAGAGCTTTCTCTACATTGGCTGGAGACTGAAACACACACACACATCTTACAGTTAGTGTCTGATAACTGGGAACACTGGTCTCACTGTACACATTGAAATAAATAAAGTTTTATTCAGATTTACTGTCCAAATTTATCTAAAAATTCTCTTTCATGACACAATTGCTGTTGCAGTAAACGTTGTCGTCTTTGTACTCAACTTAAGTAAAATTTTAGGTACTTGTACTTCTACTTCCTGATGATATCATTACCTCATTGGCACATTGTGAATAAAAGTGTATCCTTTATAAGAGTAGAAGTTTCCAGTGAATCATCATGTTATTACGTTTTCTTCAGTGTCAGTAATCCAATGATAGTTGTTTATACATCCATGGGGACACTGCTAACATGAGCTGCTAATAGCTAATTCAGCAATAATATTAATGGTGCCAATTTGCCAAAATGTGAACTGTGTTCATGTTACATACATACAAGGGTATTGTACTGTTATCATGTTACTGTAGTCAGTAGATGGCGCAGGGACTATAAAGATAATATTTGGGGCAGAATGGAGAAGGTGTGCTGAAGTTAGGATTAGGGTTACAGCAGGGCTGCGTGCAGATATACGTTATATAAAAAATATATAAAATGTGATTTTTGTCCCTAGAAGGAGTTTGTTAAAATACAAGTCATGGAAATGGCAAAAATTGTGGCAAAATTGCACATTAAATTCGAAATGGACGACTTTTTTGAAGCTCACATCGACATTTGCAGTATACACTGTAATATAAACCTAGTTTCCATAGAAAGCTCAATAAATCCAAACCAGGACAAGGATTAAACAGAAATAATAACATTAAACAGATTCAGATTGGATTAAGGAGACAGGAAACCTCTGGAGTTTCACTGGTTCCACTGAGAGCTTCAGGAAAAGAAACTTTTCTGCCATTTCTCATCCAATTCATGGAAATCCTTCCAGCCAGAGACTGATGTACTTCCACACCTAGTTATTAGGAACTGAGAAAATCTAATTCATGTCTGTGGATGCAGAGAATGGAGGCTCAGCGGCCCAGAGCTTCCCGCTGGGTTCGCTTAATTAAAGCTGCACCGAGGCCCAGACGCTGTAGAGGGTTGTTCTGTTCCACTACACAGATTTTAAGAGCAGCTCGGACTGTTTCTGTAATGTTCCCGGTGTTTGTTCTCTGGGTAATGGAGGGACATTTGTTGTACGTACGTCCAGTTCTTTGAGGACGGGGTGTTCTTCTATTCCAGGGAACATGACTCTCATGGTGTAGGTCCGATACTCCAGGAAGGGAATCTTCACTCCGTCCATGTCGTTGGTCAGCTCCTGGATGTCCGTCTGCAGCTCTGCAAAGGCTGGACAGGGAGGAAAGGAAAGAGAGACAGTTATTTAGATTTTTATTTCCATACTGAGGGCCTTAAACGTTAATTGACCCTTCAAAAGCCCCGCCCCTTTTATGTGCTAGGCTAATCTATGTTGAAAAGATACATTTTGAAGATGGAGACATATACAGTATATAGTCAAAGTTACAATTCTGGATATTTATGTTGTAACTGTGAAATAATAAATTAAAATTATGACTTCTGAGTAAGAATTTGGTCTTTTCAAACTAAAAATGATTCTAGTTCAACATGATGCAGCACAAATGTGATTCAGTTATGAAATAGCAAGTATGGTTAAAAGATAAAGACATATATTCACATCTCAACTTACGTAATGTTATCTAGCATTTTGCTAACATTAGCTAGATAATATTATTTGCGCTGCTGAATAATTAACTACTTGTTTTTTTTTGTTTTTATAAGTGTCCTACTGTCAAAGATACATACGTCTACCACATTGGAGCCCATCCAAAGTTGTATTTATGTTCTCTGAAACAAATGGGCTTCAATTTATCATGAAAACAACATTCAACAATTTTTTGGTTTTTGCCACTTTTATTGTATTATAAAAAAAAACCTAAAAACAAACAAAAAAAACAATCTGCTGCAAAAATTGAGACATTTTAGGCCACAAGAATAACAAAGCCATGTAATCCTGCAGTGACTGATGACAATATACGAGAAACAGCAGTATGATTGTTGGAAGGTTAGGCCAGACTAAAGAGAAAAAAAATCGTAATATTACGAGAATAAACAGTAGTAAGTTATAGAATGTCAGTCTGTTGGTAGCAGACAAACTAGTGACGAAATGATCAATACGTTAGTTTAACTGATGGACTAGATACGGTACGACTGGAGACAAACGCGGCTGCTGGCTCAGGCTGAGGCATGCTGATTGGTTAGACTGCTCACGAGACTTGATAACTCTATCGAAGCTTTTTTCTCATTAAAAACTTTTTTTCTTGTAATAATTATAGACTATATTACTCGTAATAATTAACGATTTATTCTCGTAATTTCCCACCAAAAAATGTTCTCTTAGTACTGGCCTAAATAACAAATATTCATAAGCGTTATTATTGTTTATAGAATAAGTTAAACATCATTTTATTGACATTATCATCTGATTATTCTGACCTCATTAAATGTTTGAGCGTGGTTGAGCTCAATAACTTATCGAATCATTCTTCATTATGGATTATTCTGCTTGATTATTTGATAAATTGATCAACTGATTTGTAAAAATAGATTAAATGAATCACAGTTAAAACAGAATGTATATGGACTCTTGATTAAAATGACGGACCAGAACCAGGAACAGGACATGAGATGTTGAATAGATAGAAAGATATGGGATTCAGGCCGGTCTATATATATCTTCCTTGCTAATTAAATTCTGTCCTCCCAGTGTGCAGGTAAAGAAAAAGGATCTTGAGTGACAACGGACAAACTTGTAGCCTACTTCCTGTTGTGCTGCATTAGATCAACAACAGTAAAATATTATGGTACTCTATAGTCTGGACATTAAACATTGACAGTCTGACACTGCAGATATATGGAAATCAACATATTATATGTTTATATACTATACGTACATAATATACAGATCGGAGGACCTCAAGGGGACATGAGGAGAATCATACTTTGTTGTATTCCATGAGAGTATTTCATGGGTCCACACTACAACTAATGTATAATTATTATATTACACCTTTATTTTAGTATTTTCCGTCTTGATTTTCTTTGATTTGTGTATTTTTATATTTTAATCTTTATTTATTTAATATGTATTTGTTTTTATTACATGTTCATACATATTCAAATAAAGCCCATATTCTATTATTAACAAAAATGTACTGTTTAACAC